TAAAATGGCTCTCTGATCACGTGATTTAGACAGTCAATCAAGCCATACCCTTCAATGACGCATTTCTGTTTTCTAGGTCTCTAGAGAGACTGAGTAAAACTAAAGAAAAACTATAGCAGCGTGGCCGCTGTCGGCCAGCCGTAGCATCGTGAGGGTGCAAACCCATGCAGCGGAATAGCGTAACGCGGAACGAGAGCAGAACCAATAACGAGCATTCCGTATTTCTAGAGAATCTCGTGATTGGTTTTACTCTCGTTCCGCGTTACGCTATTCCGCTGCATGGGTTTGCACCCTGACGCGTGCAGTGATAGTTTAAAGTTAGAAAGATCTTTTGTTAGAAAACCCAAAGATAAAAAGTTATCCCTAATAAAAATTTTTCTTCAAATTTTCATACGAATTAAGTCATTTTCAAGATATACATTTTCTCTTAAAATTTTTTAATTTTATATACGTACGTGAATTATGAAATATTTTAAAATTTCCAAGATTTTTCATTTTATACAGCTTCTAGTAAAAAAAATCAAACTTTTTAAATTCTGTAATATATTAATATAACAGCCTGCAGAATTTAAGGAAGACGTTAATTTCTCCTATAAAAAAAATATATATATATTATAGTTATTTGTGTAATTTTTATTTACAATTAATATCTCATCAATTATATGTATAATTAACATTTGTAAAATTAAAATTTCATGAAATAATAAAATGAACTCAAAACTTATAATTTGATTTTTATTTTCACGGCTATATCTTATCCTCTCCCGAAATCAGGATTAGCCCGCATAAAATTTATTAATATTTGTTTTTGTTTCTCAGTTTACGTTCATGACAGAATTTACAGACGGATACAGTAATATTACAGTACTTAAAGATAAAATCACAGTCTTCGAACGTCTTCGAGAACACATTACGGTGAAAATGTGAATCATCTCGTTTTCCCCTACACGGCAACTCTGGTGATTTCGTATTTTCACCTTAACGTTATAGAATCGCGCGAACAAACTCGCGTGAGATGAAAGTGCGAAAAGTGAGTGATCTCACTTGAATTAGAGTTGCCGTGTAGGGGAAAACGAAAATGAGAAACAGAAACAAATATTAATAAATTTTATGCGGGCTAATCCTGATTTCGGGAGAGGACGGTTAAGATATAACCGTGAAAATAAAAAACAAATTATAAGTTTTGATTCCATTTTATTATTTCATTTTAATTTTACAAATGTTAATTATACATATAATTGATGAGATATTAATTGTAAATAAAAATTACATAAATAACTATAATATATATATTTTTTATATAGGAGAAATTAACGTCAGCCTTAAATTCTGCAGGCTGTTATATTAATATATTACAGAATTAAAAAAGTTTGATTTTTTTACTAGAAGCTGTATAAAATGAAAAATCTTGGAAATATTAAAATAT